AATACTATTAATATATTTCCCTAATAGTATTACCTTCTTCCTTTTATTTCTTTTCTTAGCTAAAGCTATAATATATTATTAGTAGTTAAGAAGTAGCTTTTTTAATATACTATTTTAGATAATAGTATTATAGATAATATCTTCTAAAATACTAAAAGCCTAATAAGTTAGTAATAAAAAGCTATTATAATAGTTATACTTAAGATAATAAATAACTTTATAAGTATCTTTAAAGTAAGCTTCTTTTAAAAGAAATAAAGAAAAAGTAGGATTTATAAGGGCAAGGAGAGACTTATTTTTCTTCTTAACTTTATAAATAACCTCTGCGCTATTTATAGAAAATATTCTGCTTTTTTTAAAGCTATTTATAATATTATAAACAGTAAAGCTATCTTTAAGAATCTTACCAAGCTTCTTAATAAGATTAAAGCATTAAAAATTAAGAAATCCTTTATAAAAATACTGCTAAAGATATTTCTAATGTAAATTCTTTAATAGCTAAAATACTCTAATATCTAGCAGCTACGTAAGATATATAAAATAAGAAAGAAAAATAAAAATCTTAATATTAAAGTAAAGGTAGTAATTTATAAACTTAATAAAGGTTTTTCCTATAAAGCTATTAATTATAAAAAGTTTTTAAATTTACTACTTTTTAAACTACTTAAAATATAGCTGCTTTTAAATAAAGTTAGGTATATTAAGATCTTTTATAAATTTATTATAGCTAAACTAATCTTTAAATATAATGCCTTTTGCCTGTGCCTTTATAGTATAGTTAAAGGAGTTATAGTTAAAATGCTATATTTAATCTATTAAGATCTTAGTATTAGAAAAGCTACTCTTAAAGCAAGTAAAGCAAATAGCTTTACCTAAGCTATTAACCTCTTAAGATTCTATTAGCTATATTTTAAATACTATTAGCGCTAGTATTATAACTAAAAAATATATTAAGATATAGCCTAAAGTCTAAAGATTACTTATATCTAGCTATATTTATATATTTAAAAAGCGTAGTTAATTCCTTATTAAAGAAGAAAATAACCTTATATTTAATATTAAGTATTTTCTTTATAATAATAACCTTAAGCTACTTATAAATAGTACTAATCTATATACTGTATTTATTAGCATTAAATATTTATAAGGCTTTAATTTTTCTTTTATTTATAACTATATTAAGGTTAGTATAGAATTTCTTAAGATTAGAGATATTTCTAGCTTTAAATCCTGCTTATTTATAGTTAAAAGCTTAAACTAACTTCTTCTTCTTAAGCTACAGATTATCTTAAAGAAATCTCTTATACTAGCTATTACTAACAGGGCCTGCTAGAGGCATTTATAATACCCTTAGCTTATTTACTGCTTTTTTAATAAGTTACTAATTATAAAAAAAACCTGCTTTTTTAAGCTAAATAATATATATAACTATAGTATACTCCTTAGCCTTATTAAGATTCCTTAGGTAGCTAATACTATTATTACTAAAAGCAGGCTTTTTAAATAGCTTTATTAACTTAAGATAATAACTAATAGAAATCTTTAAAGCTTTATATCTCTTAGTAGTAATACAGATTATAAAAGGCTTATACTTAGTATTATAGTAGTAAAATTATAAGATTAGGATTATATATATAGCTATTATAGTAAGACTAAAATTATAAGAATTACTTATTTTAAAAGTCTAGTAAAGAAAATATCTTTAGGTATATAATTTAACTAGATAATACTTAGAAATATTATTAAAATCTTTAGTTTAAGGTAGTAAAAATTATAAAATTGCAACTAGGCAAGGTAAAGGCTTATCTTACGATTTTGCCCTTATCCTATAATTTTGCTGCCTACTCTTTAAGTAGGGCTCCCTTTTAGTCAGATCCACGAGTATAGTAATTTCCGAAATCGGCTAAAGCGTTTCTCTGTATGCATGTAATTTGCGCCACTGTCTGCCACTCACGTCGAAATCGACCACCATATGCAATTCAGACTAGTTGTGACGCAAATAGCGGCTTTCTCACGAAACTGTTTCAATAGCTGTATTCACAGTATCTCTGACTGCAAATGTATGAAGGCTAAATCTATGTGTTTCTCCATTATAAGATCTCGGGTCAGTTCCTGGGGGTTTCGGTCATGGTGTGATGCTAAGATATCCAACGACATACTGTATAATCTCCGTATAAGCCAGTCTGAAGCCCGTCAGTATCTCGTACCTCGCGATTCACGGAAATTCTCGTGGGCCTCAGCTGGGCTTGAGAGGGTAAGTGTATGACGAATTGTTTCGATATGGTTGTCATCAGGTAACCCAGTTTGCCGAAATCGCGTGTAGCTGACCAAATAAAGGCCACCATGCAATCCATTACAAGCAACTAACTAAAGCAAACAGTAATTGCATGTGCTGTTGTAGGGCATTGGGGCTTCCAACGCACACCAATCAAATGAAGGCGGGAGATACCAAAACAGACTGATTGCAGGCCCCTCAGGGAGCAAGAAAATATCAGACTTTTATGATATAGAATGTTAATAAACTTAGCAAAGATATCCTAAGCTTATACTAATTTAACCAAGTCTTTTCATGATTGAGGATCAAGTTCCTGAGTTTTCTTTCCTCCCCTGGGGCCCTTACACTTAGGCAGCGTTACCTAAATCCGTTTATGAGTTAAGATTGAGCACAATTCAATCCTTTGTCGGTTGCTGGAGGGACCATCCACTTGGACCTGTGCCTTAAACCCCACCAACATCCACAAGTGGGGACGGCACGTTTCCATGCAGAAGTACTAGGCGCGATAAGCGCCATATCCTTGCTTTAACTTGGCGCGCATAAATCGACGACCTCGGTACCCAAGGAAGATATAGATCTTATATCACGAAGTGACACAATACGGTATTCCACATCATTGCCAAATATTATAAGCAGAGATTCAGTTCGGTGTCAAATAAGCAAAAACAATATAGTACATTAACGTACAATTCATCTCGTCTTAGTTAGATCCCTCAACCGACTCATCAGGTCGAGGCAATCGTGCAGCTCGGACGGGAGTACCAGCCACGTCGATCGTCTTTTTCTCCCGCTCACTTCTTGTTCGGTTAATCAGCTCCATACCGAGAATACCGCTCAAAATACCGCACAAATGCGATGCGATGTCAATCTTCAACTTGACCGTCTTACCAAAGGCAGCAAGTTGAGGAACACATATGAGCGCCAGGAAAATGATGCCCGGCACACCGTCTTGGGGTAACCCAAAGAATCTATAGCCATCAAGACGATGCTCCCAGAAATATGCGGCGCAAACACCCAGCGTTGCTGCTGAAGCGCCCAAAGTTGTAACGCCTAGCATCCCTCGCATAGCATATGTAGCCACACTGCCCACAAAGCCGACCGCACCGCAGCCCACATAGAGGGTAAGTAAATTGGCTCGGCCAATATCCTCATGTAGTGCGGATCCAACAAGAAAGAGGGGAACCATGTTCATGAGCAAGTGGCTAAAATACTGGTGAGAGAAGGGTGCAATGAACATGGAAACTGGCTTAACAGCACCGACAGCGATGATCATGTAGCGGTTGAGTAACCTCCACAGAGGAGGGGCCTTCCATGCTGCCCAGACAAGCACATTGACAGCAACAATGGCTCCCAGCGTCGCATGAGCAGTGGAGATATCGGGAAAGACTCGGTACCGGGGAGCGGGCTCTTCATAAACAGTGCTTACAGCAGCTAGGAAGCCAATGACGAGAACGACGAGAGTAGCGGAGGGAAGAACCCGCTCCCAGGTCTTGAGTTCTACAGGAGCTTCTAGATCAGACTGTGCCTTCTTATAGTATTCGGCAATTTTGGGGTTAGCGATCTGTCTCTCTGCATTGTGGTCGAGAGTAGCCAGAGTGCCAGAGTTTACCTCCCCTCTCGCCTCCGCTGCCTTTCGTGCTTCTGCCTCGAGGGCTTCCTTCGCCTTCCGCTTAGCGACATTCTGAGCTCGGAGTTCGTCAAGTTTGCTGTGGCCATAGACCGGGTCTGGTTTATAAACTGGAACGGATGGCTCTGCGGTTTCGGTTTCGGCCTCGTCCTTGTTCTTCTTTGAAGCTTGCTTCGCCTTCTTGGCTGCTTCCTTCTCCGCTTCGAGTTGTGCAAGCTCATCCTCAGCTCGGAGGCCCGCGTTCAGCACTTCATCAACCTTCACCGACTTTCGTAGGTACTCGAGACCCTTGGCAATCTGAGTCTTGGTGTATGAGGATGTATGGACCGAAAAAGCTGGATCGTCGAGAGTGCCAGCAACCCGACGTCCGTGGAGGATTCGCAGCAGTTGGTTAGCTCTTTTCGGATTGATGCCCCTTCCGAACGCTTTCACAACCTCTGCATCGGTTAGGTCCTTGCTTCCGAATTGAAGGCCGACCTGGTCTCGGTAGTCTCTCGGCAAGTCCTCATAGTTTCGGATCGTCTTATCGAAGAATATCGTTCGTCGGGTCTCGTATGAGTTATTGTTGTTCCTGAAAAGTGTACTTCGACAACTGGTGGACGGCGGTAGAAGGCCACTTCGATTCCTTGACGCACAGCTTGAAATCCATCTGGTTGCCGCAAACGGCTGGGCCGCAGAGGCCGATGCTTTTGATACTGCTCTTTGGAGAGCAGACCTCAGCAGCATTCTCGAAGAATTGGGGCAGGCGAATAGACTCATTGTGAATGAATGATTGAATGCGCAAGATGCGCCCTGGAGAGCCACCGGCTCGAATAAAACCACAGCAGCCACGGCGAGGGGAACAGTCGATGGATTGATGGTGTCTCTTAGTGCATGAATTAATCTTGGACGCATGAGGCCGATAATTTTGGTCACAGCATGTCAAGGATCATCAACTTTGAGGTACGTACCGCCACTACGCAGGACCTTTAGTACCTACCTCCTAGCCTGAACCCCACCATTGCATTCAACTGCCCCGCGGTCCCCTTCAAGCTCCCGATTACACATCATACCCATCCCCAACTATACCTCTTCACGCGGCTCTCGTCATATTCGATCATGTCTTCCACGTCCACATCCGCCGATACCACACCGATCGCCCCCGCGCGGTTCGCCGCCGCCCTCAAGGACCTCTCGGTCGGCATGTTACACCTCAAAATCCTTGAAATCCGCAATTCGATCGCCCACCTACAGTACTCCAACGACCAGCTCAAGCCATTTGCAGAGGGCACAGAGTCCACACCATCCGGTGAATCCTCAGGGCCTGACCAGGACTGTATCGATGCTATTCGCGAGAACGAACAAGTCATTGATCGTATGGCTGAGCGCGTTTCTCTGATTCGTGCAGAGGTGGAAGAACGTGGACTTAGCTGGACGGAATTCCAGAACCGGGATGAGACAACTAGTAAGAACGATGAAGACGCGGCTGCTGTCAATGGAGACACTCAAGCTGGTACCGCGACATCTGGCAACGAGAATCGACACAATGCATGGAACGATGGGACTTTTCAAACAGGAACAATTCGAAACGGCGAGGTACAGGTGGATCGCCAGGCCGGTCGACCAGAGGGTGGAAGTTTGAGCGACGAGCAGCTCCGAAGGGCTCTAGAGGAGCGAATGCGAGACCTAGGCACGGATGACGATGAAGGAGGCATGCACCTTTGAGTTTGGGAGGCGAAAGAAACACAAGAAAAAGACTACAGCATAGCCGGCGTTTGGTAGATGGAAGGAAATTACGGCACAATACCCGATACCTAGAACACCGATGTGCATAATCGTTCGATCATGCGGAATAGTCAGAATCGGTTCGGCCTTGACTAGGTCACAGTTCACAGACAAGGGAGGGCCCTTTTTTTTAAAACCAATTTTGCTATTTTCCGATCTCAGCTGGTGTCTTGCTGAGGACTTCTGCTTTTAAGGCTGCGTAGTGAAGCCGCAGTGTTATTTGTACGTCATTCGACAGTTTGAAAGCACGCATCGCCGGCCATTTGGTGCTTCAAAAACCAAGACAAAGAAAAGATGAATCATGTAACCTGCTCCAACGCCCAAGTGCTATGCCGCCCAATGCTAAACCAAAACCAGTCCCATATAAATGCTTATAAACAAGAGAAACCTGTGCTGAAACAATGTACTGGAGAAGACGGTGAAGATAACAATGCTAAAGGATGTCAAGACATGTGAAACAGGGAAGAGACAAGACCGCAATGAGTTAGGTGGCAGGGTGAAACGGTCTTGAAGAGATAATGAGGACGTGGGGGTTGCCGTATCTTATGCGATGTGGCTTGAGCGTTTGTTTCACTCGAATCCGACTCAGTCAGTGTCGTCACCAACAGGGGAGGCAGCACCTGAAAGCCTCTTGGATCGAGTGGACTTTTGTCGCTTGGATCGCTTTGAGGACATTCGGGTGGCAGTCGCGGACCTTGTGCTCATGATGGTCTCAAGCTTTGGTCGTTGTGCGGCATGTCCCGCACTCGAGGGTGTTCGGCGGGTTCCCAGGTTCATGGTACTTTGCGAGAATGGAATGGGCGCGTCTGAATCTGAATCATCAGAAGAATCGTATCCTGGCGGTGCGGCAACCGGTCGAAGGCGTGTCTTTCGCTTGGCGAAGCCACTATCGAGCGAGTCGTCTGATGTGTCGAATGAAAGGCTTCGAGTTCGATGGACAGAGAGAGACCGGCTAGTACGGTTGAGGAAGAGGGATTCGATGAGCTCGGTTTCGGTAGGATTGCTGTTTTCCTTCTTCAGCTTCTCCATAACAAGCTTCTCGTGAACAAGTCGACCAAGTTGCATATCTTCTCCAACCAATGTCCTGCCGCTCGATTTGCTCCCTGAGCTTCCAGCCCGGCTAACAGGCACCTTGCCTTCCATGACCTTGGCCGGAGGCGGAGGCTGTAGCATCCATTGGTGGGCATTTCGCGAAGGAACCTTGCTGCTGACGACGGGAGGGTGGTACTCGTTGATGGGAGGATTCTTCGGAAAGTAAAAGTCGTGCCGTTGCTGTTCTGTTACCTCCTTCTCTAGTCCGAGTGTAGACTCGATTAATCGACCGGCAGAATCTCGTGCTTTTGATATGGCGTCCTTAAACTTTTGGCCGCCCCATTGACCCCATAGCTCCTCGTCCTCTCGCTGGTATCCATGCCGCCGGTTCCAGTCGTCGGAGAGGTTGTCGTCTGCCGCGATGACGGAATTGCTAGCGCCAAAGTTGATGCGGCTCCCTCCTTGATGTGTCTGCTCGGATACGCTGAATGCACTGCTCTCTCCGCCCTGACTTGTGAGGCCACGCTGACTAGAATTCTTGCTGGCAGATTTCTTTTGTGGTAAAGATGGTCCCATGCTAATCTCCTCTTGCCAATACGGGTTTGTGCTAAACGGTGAGGGATGTTGGTACACATCAGGTTGCTCGCCCACTACCTTGGCCTTTTCCTCGCGCTCCCTCCGAGACTGCTCGCGAACCTTTTGTCGATGTCGAACTTGGGCGCATGGTGTACAGGCAAGAATATAGAAGACGGCGGATTGAATTGCGACGGGAAGAGACATGTTGGTGGTCGTCGCTTTGTATACAGTGTACCGGGCATAAGAGTCGCTTCGCTTGGCCGGCTTTCAATTGGGATGATGCGTATGAAACAACGAGCACGGTTATATGAAGAGAACGAAGGACAGAGGAGAACAATTGCTACACCAAAAGACACGGAGACATAAAGCAAGGGAGCGGAGAGAAAGGGGCCCAGCCCAAGAATGAGCAGATTGATAGTCGAAGCTGAAGAGGATGTCGATGCCGAAGCCGAAGGATGGACAGCTGAATTGAGACGGAAAACGAGTAAGGCTGAAAGCAAGAATTGATGAGGGTGAGGACTGCGGTGTAAATGAGATTGGACTTGACGTGATAGATGGTGGTCGTTCTTTTTTTGGGCGAAAGAGGCGCTGCGCCTGTACTGACTAGGCCAACGCCAGCAGTGGCCAGAACTGGGCGCAAAGGGGAATAGAGCGCAACGTAGCGCAACACAATGGCCAAATAGCAAAGAATGTAGGTATGTAAAAGCAGAAACGCTTCGTCTTTGCTTGAAGTTGGCCGTAAAGCTGAAACCGAAGGGGCCGGTCGTTGGAGGTTAAGTTCGTAAGAGGCGTTCCTGAGCGACCGGAGACGTTGGCTGTTTGGGGCTTATTGATTGCTCTAGTGTTCTGCCGATCCCAGTGAGTGAGTGAGAGACAGACGCAAACTTGACTAACGAATCCCCCCTTGAAAAGGACCCCTTTGGTCCTAAAAGTTGAAGGACAGGAATGTGAGAGAATGAGAACACAATTCTGTCAACCAAAACAAGTGACAGCTAGGCCTGGGGCTCGTTCCCTTTCCCTTTGTGTCTCTGCTTTAGGAGAGTGATCGACCGACGACCAAGGGTATCGTGGGTGATAAAGGGGTGCGAGACGACGTTTCACAGAGAGTTGCGGCGGGCACTAGACACTGTAGATAAAACGGGGTGGTAACTGGGTTTTTGTCTCCCTAGGTAGGTAGGGGTTTGCACAGGGCACTCAATGGGCAGGGCAGAGATGATAGTGCGGGTTAGTAAAGAGGCTGAGATGGAAAACGGAATGGGTCGACCGTATAACGAGATAACGAGATATGAACGACCAGAGAAGATACGGTCTGATGGAGCCAGAGCTAGGAAGGAAGATTCCCAATCTCATATATTTGTGGGTAACGCAGGGTTTATGACGACTGCTGCTGTCGCGGCCCGTCAGGTCAGGTCAAGTCAAGTCCATACGGGATCGGATAATAAATGAGTAGGTTGGTGGGAGGACAGGCCAAGAGACGAGCGTTCTTTTAGGGTGGCGGCGGTGATGGGATGGACTAAAGAGGTGCTATAGTAACCAAGTCCTACACCGACGACAAACGAGGTACGATAATACGGACGGATACAAAGTCGACGACAGCTGGAAATGGCGCAGGCTAGTCGTCGTATGTATGTATGCAGATGAATAGATCCGTAGGTAGCCTGGGTTTAGCTGCAGCACGCTACAGTTCTTTGCGGTAAAAGTCAAGGATTTGGTTGACGATAATGGGGGGTAGGCAGGTAACTAATTAAAGATCCAGGGGAAATGGAGAGCAGTTGCATTGGCAGAGTCAGCCGAGCCAAGACGACATGCTACTCAACCAGGGTCAGAAGAACATTGCCGTGCACAATAAGCCAGCCCAATGCATTGATCAAGGTCTTCGGGATAAAGCCATTTACCGTGTTGGATTTCCAGTTGTTTCTGTTTCTCTATCAAGGAGACAAAATAAAAAAAAGAGGCGCACCCATCTCATCAAATACCACATGGATCACCACAGAACGTGCAGGGGGGCAAAGACACAAGGGACCTCCAACATGTGCTCAAGTCCACCAATGATCCAGGTACCAAGAGTCCAGGCCTTGCTGTCCTCCACTGCTAGGTAATCCCCCGCTTGGTCGGAGCTGGGTGGGGTACCATAGAATGGACAGGCATGGGTGCAGACAGTATCCGACTATCCGTATGGGCATGGATGGATCGAGCGAGCGGGTGTAGCGGCCTGGACCATCTGAGACTTCTTCAGTGCAGGGGGGGTTGGGCTGTTGAAATGATTGGGGAATTCAGAGAGAGGAGTTGTTCTCGGCATCAGCATCGATGGCTTGGACTGGTAATATCTACTATGTATCAAGTTGAGGGCCGAATCGTGACACCAGGTCCAGCAGACTGAGCAGAATTGCTTTACCACAAGCCCAATCAATCTCTTGCCGATGCTACATTACCTCTCTGGTGCCATCATTGTCCATCATAATTAGTCTAGAAAAGTCCCAATGTAACATCCGGTCTCAGACGGGATCTCCCATTTGTTTGTTTTAGCTGACAACTTGAAGCAACGCACGAAACTCTCGACCGCCAGCCAAGCCACCGTCCGTTGCGCGGTAAAAACAAGCTACGCCATGCTCTAACTTTTGCACCGAGCAACGTAGCCAGTAGCATACGTACTGTGTAGTACCGTACTGTAGGCTCGTAGAGCTTATTGACTAAATTAATTCGTGACGTCTTGGGTTCTTGACCGCGAAATTCACATCAGTCTCGAGGCTAGATAGCAACTCTCTCACTTGAGTCTTGAGACTCGGTTATCCTTGTCAATACCTACAGTGGTGCTGCACTAAACTAAGAGCAGATCTATGTATACAATATCTTTGTTGCATACCCTTATAAACTTCCTAAGTACTGAGCTAGGTAGTTCGAGCATATAATCAAGCGAAATGTAATTAATTGCCTCCCTTACGTTGTCCGATCCCGCCAAGTAAGGAAACGCCTGATGGTCAATAAGGTCTGCCACGTAAATAACTCAAAATGTCCCAAAGTTGCCGGTTCTTCCAGCGTATTCTCTTGTCTTTCGTCATGGATAGGTAGCTAGGCAAAGTTAGCTTGCTTCCTCATCCCGCAACTGCACCTCATACCCCCGCTTCCCGCTTCCGTCTTCCGGCTCGGCCCCCTCATCCTCTTCCTCTCTCTTCGGCCCAATTCTTGCGTTTTCCCCCTCTCCACCCGGCTTGGCGTCTCCGAACACGATCATAGCAGACCTATCACGACGTGAGTCGATTCACACCCCAAGTCTCTCACCACACTGAGCACCATAACATAGGTACAGGAATATGCTCGCTTACAGACTACAAAGTATATGATACAGACTAGGTATCTGCAGGTAAGATACAACGGCCCGGTCTGGCGTGCCCTGTAACTACTAAACTTAGCCCCTGGTCATTCCACTGCCCATCCCACAATGTACCTACTAACCTATCAAGGGGATGCAATAAAACTTAGGACCTCTATCCTATGTGAAAAAAAGCCTTAGGTAGACTTGGGTAGACTTAGTATAATTTAGTATATATAGAGAGGATCTTAGATTAAGTATTTTTAATACCTCATTTTAATGTCACAAGTCTTCTTACACCCTCAGGCACTATGTAGTCCTCAATATGCACGCTGCACGCCGTAACATGCCATGGGCCGCATGAAGCGGTGAACAAAATAGAGCATTCGTGAAATCAGAAAAAGACATGTTTGTGTTGAAGGTTGTCATTCGTCATTCTCACTGCCATTGGCTAGGGTACCTAAGCTGGACTTGATACAAGCTATTGAATCTAGACTCAATCCCTTACCTTGAACTTCTCTTATTCAAGAAGCGCCTTGCATTCCACATTCCTCAGGTCACGACTCGTACCTACTAGACATGTTGTGACTTAGCTACTTGAGTAAGATTCAACGCATGCATACTAATTTCCTGAACTTAACAGTTTACCTCACCTCAACTTCCAACAAGGGATACTCCCAGAGATCGCGGAGAGTTCAAGGGAGCACGTGAACTTGACCCAATCTACCTTACCTATAGACACCATTTCAAGTACTTTAGTCGTGGCTAATTAAGTATGCTTTATTTTGCTTCTTATCTGGACCTACAAACTGTCGCAAACAATCGAATCGACTATCAATACACTGCTCAATCTTCCTCCAAATACTGGCCTTGCATTATTCACCAATGCAGTCACCAGCCGCGGGCTTTTCTTTTCCCACGGCCAACGTGAACCCTTGCTTTTTGTCCATGAATGTGAACTGTGTCCGTCGACGTTTTCTTTCAACGGCTACCTCTGGAATGGCCAGCCTCGCCTCGTCGAAAATTTGACCATTAACCCTGAACTCCCGACCGCAAACGCTTGTGCTGTCGCACTCCACCAACGTCTTGGCACATGTTCGGAGGGCAGACTGCCTCTTGATCCAAATTGTGGCAGAATTTCGTTGATGGAAAAAGAAATAGTCAAGTTACAGACAAGTGACAAGGAAAGTGTAATGGCATGCCTCAAAGACATGCGATGCCCCCATCTGGGACCTGTTCTTCTTAGACATCCCATTCTTCTTCCTCCTCCTCCTCTTCCTCAGCAGCATCGCCCTTAGTAGTCAATGCCGAGAAAGATCCAAATGACTGAGAAGGCTGGGAAGCCTTGTTAGGCCCGGTGGGTTGCTTGGGCTGGACGGCGGGGCGGGCCGCAGCCTCGTCGCCAGATCCAGCTGAAGTGGCATTCTTAGCACCCTTCTTGGACTTGGTCTTGACAGTGCTCCAGTCATCATCGTTCTGGAGGAGCTGGATCTGCTCCTCTTCAGAAGGTAGAGACTCCATCCACTTGCGGCCGGTGCTCTTGGGAGCATTGACTGCAGAAGCGGGGGCTTCCTCATATGTGTCGAGCGGCTGATGAAAGCCATTCGTCTGGGCAGGGGCAGCCTCGGGGGCCTTGGGAGCTCCCTCCTTCCAAGCGGATGACTTGCTCTGGGTAGCAGTGAATTGGGAGCCGTCCTTAGCAGCACGTCCCTCAGCAATGCGAGCGGCGCGGCGTTGCTTCTCCTCGAGAACCTTTCGCTCCTTCTCGGATTCCTCACGAGCAGCCTTGGCCGCCTCGGCCTTCTTACGGTTCTGGCGCTGCTTCTTGGTCTCAGCAGGAGCCTCCACCTTGGGGGTCTTCTTGTTCTGCTTTTTGGGCTCAGTGTCGGTCAGACGAAGAATTGTTGGGCGAGCGGGAGCGGTCTCGAGCATGTCGGAAACATCGCCTGCGACTGCGACTGCGGGACCGACCTCAGGTGAGGTTACAGGAGACTGGTCATCATCGCCGTCGGCACCAGTGGTGGATGACGGGGCCGACTCCTTCTCCTCGGCGGCGCTGGCCACCTTGTTGGCGCGGGATTGTTTGACAGACTTCTCTCGCTTTTTACCAGCATCAGATTTGGCAGCAAACTTGGTGCCCTCCTTGGCCTTTGCCAATTGTCGGGCAAATTCGCGATTGTCGACTTTGTCGTCTTTGTCCTTCGCACTACTCGTCCAAGCACTGGTCTCCGATTCAGCCTTGGGTTTCTTGGAAGCCTCCTGTGCCTCTGATGCGAAGGCCTCCTGGCGCTGCTTCTTCTTGCGGTCCTCCTTGCGAGTCTCCGTCTGCGAGCTCTTGGCCGGCTTGATCTGAGCCCGTGTTTGATTTCCAGCCTTCTGGCCTCGAGATAGCCGCCGGTAGGCGACGCAGCAAACGGCAATGACCAGGGCGTAGCTTGCAACGGTGTAGAGGTAGCTCATTTTATCCGCTGTGATATGGTGTATTGAGTGTCGTATTGTAGGGGGTGCAAGGTTGAGCGAAGTTGCCTCGAGATTCGTTTCGAGCTTCGGGATGAAGATCGTGGTTGTATCCCAAATTAAGCGAAACAGACGTGGGAACTCGAGCACCTCTATCGGTTAACGACAGTTGGCCTCTTGGTCTAATGAGCCAAAGCAGGTGGAAGCAACAGCTGTGTACAAAAAGAAGTTGTGGACAAAGCGCGGTTGTGAGTGTGAGCCAGGTAGGTAGGTAGGGGCAGCTAAGCTGTCGCAATTATAAGGCCAGATTGTCCTAAGCAATGAGCCAGCGAATCGCTGCGCCGTGAGAGCGTCGATAGTCGTGGCGAAGAGTTAGGGGGAGATAAAAGAGAGGGAAACTGAAAGGTTGATAATGTGAATAGATGAGGAAAGGGGTGAGAAATGACGGAAGCCGGTTCAGAAGAAGATTGATGAGTCTGGCGCAAATCACACAGAAGGAGAAGACACCAGGTGGCTTGAAGTCAAGTCAACCAGTCGTTTTTGGGCTACCTGAGGCGAGGAACGGTCGCGGGATTGAGTGAATTGGTTCCGACTGCAGGGGAGCAGGGGAGCAGGGGAGGTAGAGCAATGTTTGGACAGAAAGCACCCGACACCAAGGCAGTGGGGAGCTTGGGGTTTCGGGGTGGAGAAAAAGTAGCCCGTGGGCGGATTATGGTGACGAGGTACTTTGACTGGAGAGATTTGGATCGAAACTGATGCAGCCACTGTAGGTACTTTTACGGAGAGACTTTCAATAGTCAGCAACTGCCCGTGTTACACAAAGTACCTATACAGGAGGATATGGCTACCTATACCTTGGGACGTTTGTGATTTATCCGTCAAGTTTTGCTGGGGAAAAGCAGCCGAAGGGGACGGGAGACGTCGTCCGGTGTTGAAAAGGAGAATGGACTAGAAGTCTAGGTACTTACCTATACCTACATCAGACTCTGCTGAATTCGCTCCTTCCAACCAACTTCCTGCTTTGGCTGGCTGAGGCTGATGAGACGAAGACTGCCTACCACCTACCTCAGGTATTCATGGATATAATAGCGGAGTTCGCCCATTACAACTTAAACCAGGGGTTCGAGTGTCTTTGCGAATGTACTAATGTTGGGCCTGGAATTGGCTCATTACCACTAAAGGCCTGCTTCGATCCTCGATTCCAGTGAGATGTTTCATCACAAGGCATGAACTTTGCTAGATGATAAACAGTTAATTACAGTGTGCTACAAATCGAAAATCTACGAAAGCCCTTGTTAAAGTCGCAGTACCAGCTTCCGAGTATATGTACATATTGTTGGTCAACGTGTGAATCATATGCTCTGGGAGGCTGCCCTTCAAATATCAAGGGAAGCATATGATTAATCAAGGAAAGCAGATATTCTTCATTGGTCTGACATACGTAGCTGGGAGGACAGGTCAATCGTGAGATGAGTCACTGATAATTGCTTGGAGGGTATATCGGGATTTCTTTATGTTATCCCTGAAGCCTTAAACTCTTGCGTTGGGGTTACTTGATTGGCTGTCGGAGTGATTTTTAGGTTGCACATACTCCGTACTTCATGTCATCTGCAACTCAAACTGCACTACCCTGCGTCAGGCTCGGATCTCGCAAGTATTTCAACTCTGACATCCGTTTATGAACGGCGATTTCATATACTACCTATCGTGCAAGTGCGACAGGAAACCAATAGAAGTACCTAATGCCCATTTATATCTCGCTCAATGGAACAACCAATAGTTCTTATGAAAAGCTTATCTCAGCAACTAACACTACACCCCACCTGCCCACCTGCCCAAAACCGAAGGAGGGGAAACGCTCATCGGCATAAGTTAACATGTGTGAACAAGAACTCTGATCTTCCTGTTCTCAACCTGCAAGGTTTCAATTTTAAGCTGCACGTAAAGAAGTCGATTCCTGGGCTACAGGACTGTGAGAATAAACCCAAGGCTGCTTAGATTCCTCCGCATTTATACTTTTCTAGACCTGTTCAACAAGCTTGAGTTCCTCATCTAAGTCGCCACTGGGTTTTCTGGACATATCCTCCAAATTCGAGAATGGCTCCCAAGCAGAAGATCATTATCGATACAGATCCAGGTAACTGTCATGTTATTTGAGGCTGGAGTACCTGAGGTCTAATATGTCAAGGCGTCGATGATGTCCTAGCTCTACTTCTTGCACTCAGTGCCAAACCGGAGGAGCTTGAGGTTCTTATGGTGTCCGTCACGTACGGCAATGTCCCCCTCCAAAGGTAAATACACTTTTCAATTATATTCAATATCATGAACCAACACTAAAGATCCTCTCAGCTGTCTCCGAAACGTTGTTTCTCTCTTCCACGTGCTTGGGAAAGAACTTGAGTGGAGGAAGTCCACTGGCAAACCCGAAGGCTTTGGAGCCATGCAGGCAAACAAGCCCATCGTGGCTGTTGGCCCTGACCATCCCCTTTGCGACGAGGAGCTGATGGCGGATTACTTCCGTAAGTTCAGTAGCTGCTCTGATAACCCGTTCGTTTCCTTTACTGATACGTGGATGTCTGTAGACGGTATCGATGGCTTGCATAATGTTCATGAGGCTCATCCTGATTTGTCTCCCGCTGAAACCTGGAAAGGCATCTTCAGTGATGGCGCCAACGAAGCAGAAGACTATTCTCCTTTCTTCACGCCATCCAAGGCGCCCTCTCACCATGAGATTCTCCGGATCCTTAAAGAGAACCCCGTGGATACTGTCTCCATCCTCGCAGTTGGTCCTCTTACCAATGTTGCCTTAGCAGCCGCAGAAGACCCCGAGACTTTCCTTCGTGTGAAGGAGCTTGTCGTCATGGGCGGTGCTGTAAATGTCGAGGGAAATTGTACTCCCGTGGCTGAATTCAACTGCTACGCCGATGCTGTCGCTGCTGCTCGGGTTTACGCACTCACGTCCCCCAAGCCGAGCTCCACGATGCCGACTATTCCCCAGGAGCTTTCAACTTTGAAAGCTTACCCGGACAAACTTTCCCGCCAGCTTAAGCTCACACTTTGCCCCCTCGATATTACTACCCCTCACTTGATTGGCAAGAACTACTTCAAGGAGAACATCCAGCCTCACGTCGAAGCTGGCAGCCCACTTGCTCGGTGGGTGTCACACTTTGTCACAAAATCCTTCAGCAAGATCGAGGATATGGAGGGGGATGAAAACGAGCCCGGTCTTTCGTTGCACGACCCCCTGACGGTATGGTATATGCTGACCCGAGACGATCCCAAGTGGAAGACACCCGAGAAACTGGAGGACATACGTGTGGAGACCAGCGGTCAATGGACACATGGAATGCATGTCGTTGATCGTAGATTCAGAAAGAAGCCTGCCGAAGCCGCAGTCGCCCTCTCAGAAAACCCCAATGAGGACCCCCATATCTTGACTCTCGATGAGGTCCCTGGCGACGACCATGGTTGGCTGAGTGTTCTCAAGGGTAACCGTCTCAACCGTGTGATCGACTCTCCTGGACATGACATCTTCAAGGAAGTGCTCATGCAGCGCATCTTTGGATAGAGTCCAGGTTGTCGATCTTGCGTCAGCTTAAATAATCAAATGAATCATCTCCAATTGTTGAAAGCATATACCGTGGCGAAGGCCAAGATGAATTGTCTAAACTCCCTGAACTCGAACGCCTTGTGATCCTATCGATGCCGTGGGAAAGAAGCCTCCCAAACCTCCAGCCGTGGATGCTGTACCCCAAACAGAATAACACGAGAGAAAATGTCGTAGTACGGACCGCTTTACGATATTTGGAAAGTGTAGTCTATACGTGCTTTATACCGCCGATTGCTGAACCCTTGACTTCTGTCCAGTTGATGCTGTCGTCGAGCGCCTCATCTACGAGGCCGATTGAGCATACGTTGTCGCCACGGACGAGGTATAGACCTAAAGGCACTTGAGCGGAAGGCTCAGGATCGTCGGGCGTTCGGATAATTCGTTCCACGGCGTTGTTCAAGACCTAAGCACATGCCGTGAGCGTTTGTATGGTCAAGATAAGTAGGAGGGCACTCACTAGATTGGTTGTTTGGTCGCATGCTGCTAGAGTTCCGACAAGAATACGCGAGTCGGCTGTCACAATCAGGACTTTCTCTGCGATCTGTATTAGCAAGCTGGTGAGGTTGGTAGTAGAGCCTGGGAAGGTTGTCGTACTGTTGAGATATCCACCGAGTGTAGCCATGACGTCTGAATCTCCTCAGCGATATCGTGCCAGGATTCTGAATGTGGTATTAAAGAATATTGGCTAGTTATAGAGGTCGAAGTGCGTTGAAGGGAATTGCTGGACTCGTTCAGTGGGTATCCGTTGAAGCTGTTTCGGCAGTCAACGTGGGCGTCTGTGGTGGACTTTTTGGAGGAGCTTCCAGAGTATATGCACTAGACCTAATCGGGACTGCTTCTACCACCAAAGCACACGACAAAGTTGTGATGCTGGGCATTGGCGATGGATATGTGGTGTTTGTTATCGTTTTTGATGCCTGATGTTACTCTGTGCGTCTCTCTATTACTGTCCAATCTAACTTGGCCGATTTGAGCACCACTTTACTTCCGAGGAACAAGCACACTTTGGATTTCATGGGAGTAAGGTAGCAACCTCTATCCTGGGTACCTTAGGAAGCCGTGTAGAAAGCGACGAATACAAAGCTCGTAGAAAACCGCAGCACAAGCAAGATCACAGGTCAACAGCACGCTTATTTAGTAACGGGGAACATATGGTACTCAATACTGAACTAACCCCTGTTACATTTGTTCGCATCACGAAACGCTACAAACGAGAGTCGACACTAAATGAAACCTTCAGATGATGGCATCCAGCACTTAAGTACTGCTTCTATACATAGGTAAGCAAGATGGATATTAAAGAGCACGGGACCATCGTTCACCAGCGGAGCCACTCCTTACCAACAGAGAAATACCATTTGCGCAATATCTTTTCCAACACACTGCCTTTCTAGTGTACGGGAGGATCAGAAACACCGTATATAGCAGCGTCTGTCTCGTTTATTCTAGCGTCACGCACAAAGTGTCTTCTTCACTACCCAGGACAAGCCCGAGCAAGCAATGAAAACCGAGCCCATGTAGTGTTCGCGTCACCTGGAGGCAGTGTAATACCAGGGACACTGTGGACAGAATCATGTGCAAGCACAGAGGAAACTGTCCGAAAGCCAAAAATAGGAATAATCACGATTGATGTCCTTAGACATCTTTCAGAGATTAAACTGAAAAGAACAGATACTACACTTGATCTAAGCCAAAAGGCAAAGAGAGCTAAAGAGAAAAGGAAAAGAAAAAAGCGAAGCTTGAACGGGATGCGACGAGAATTTATAGAGGAGGCTAAAGGCGGTGAGTGGAGCAGATTGGCAGAACTTCTGCGGAAGCCTGAGGTTCTCCGTTCAGTTTATTCAGTGCAGCGCAGGCAGCAAAGCGAGCACTTGGGTCGGGGACGAGAAATGACTGAGGCAGCTACGTGCACGGGAACGTTGAAACAATGGGTTCAACCTGAGGAAGAGAATTGGAAGGTAACTATCAGGAGCTTCGGGGTTGTTGGCGTCTCCGAATGGTGTAGTCCGCAAGAAGTTTTATTTTACATTTACTTCCATAATAATAATAACATAAATGAAAAAATGCACTGGAATGAACCAGATAATAACGTATACAGAGTAAATAAATAAAGAGATTCGTGATAAGTTGGAAAAGGGAAGTAATGACCAATTCAATATACCAACACCACCACGACCACTCGGTTCTCGATCCCTAGGATATCTGCAAGAGCACACAATAATACATACATAAGACACAAGTGCTCTACTTAGCCACAAGCACGAGGCAATATACACGATTTCTTTTCAATTTTGTACTTGAATTGGCGTTGTCTGCCGCTGTCTAAGAACTTCCTCTGGGATATATCCTCGATCATGAGCTAAAACTAAGTACTTACAGTAGTAGGGCACGTCTACCACCTACACCCAAACGCCATATCCTGAGTATCCTCCCGAATGCTTACCTGCTCAACCAGATCCAGCCTTTGTTATGCGTAAATACCCATCAACCTTCTCACGCAAGCGGGTGTTTCTCACGAACTCAAGGAAACCTGTAACGCCTCTTTGTCCCGTACTCTACAGATAGTGTATTGTTGTATTGTGTTGCATACGAACCGCAACCCTGGTATCAGTCTTCAACTAGTTCTCCTTCTTCATCTTCTGAGACTTTAGCTCGTTTCTCCGCTCTGTCGCTCTGTTCCTCGCCATCGTCAGGCTCTCTTCGCTTGAGTGGTGACCTGGGAGGTCTTCCGTTCTCGTCATGCCGAGGCTGAGAACCCTCATCTCTCTCATGGTATCGCCCTTCACCATCCTGAGCAGCACCGTTGACTCTAGAGTTTGCACCGGGGCTGCGACTCGCCCGGTCAACCTCCAAGGGGGTACCGGTCGTTGACGACAATGTGTCTGGCTGGCTCAATAGAGTATCACCCCGTTTTCTGGTGTTCTCGAGATGGAATGCTGGTGATGGCAGCGACGGGTTCTGCTTTCTAAGCGGATTCTCCGTGTAAAACTGGCGCATCACCTCGATAGCATGAGAACAAAGAGCCTCGTCACCCTTGAGGAGCTTCCACCAGGGCTCGCCATTGATGTCTTCAATTTGCTGGTTCGCATATATGCTCGCAAAGAAGATGGCGCTGATGGCAACATCTCGAGGTCCTATCAACAGAGGGATCGATGTAAGGCAAGCATCATTGCAAAAAGCCCAGGCCGCTTGCCGTAGATTCTTGTTATGAACTATTCCAAGCTGATCGAGCAACTTGAATAAGTGGTGGTAGGGGTTGTCAACCATCAGATCAAAAGTGAGTTGCTCTAGCATGACCTCTTCGTATGTGAGAATGCTGTCCCGCCATCGCCAGTACTCTTTGCTCTGCTCATCAATAACGAGCTTTGTGTTCTTTTGTGCAACCTTGGCTACGGCGATAATGATGTCCTTTGTCTTGCGGCAGTTCTCTTCGGTTTTGTTGGCTAGAAAGAGGGCCGTTGCTGCGATGTTCTTGATTGCAGAAGTTAGCACATAGAAAAGAATTGCGTACTGCTCAGTCAAGAACAGTCTTCCACTGCTCCAGAGGGGCATTGGAATTGTAAGATCAGGTGGAAGAACTCACGTAATGATGAATTCCACCCTTTTCTTGGACCATGTGGCAGCGCATGAAGAACCGATGGAAGAACACTCCAGCTACCCAAAGCGTAATCTGAGGTAGATCCAACATGACGCCCGCCTGGTAGATGAAGTTGACGCCCTTAGCCCTGCGCATCCTCTCTTCAGCCGGCGAAAGACCCTCGACTATGCTAGGTGTACTTCGCACTTCGTCCGACGTAAAGTTCCATTGGTTGAGAACAGCTACCGGAGTTTGCGCACCGGATCGGGCTGGTGATTCTTGGGGTTGTCGGGCTTGTGGTCGGGGGGGAGATGTTCGTGTCGAGTGCTGCGGAGGAGTTGGTACTGCTGGAGGAACGGCATCGCGGCGCCGGGGAGATCGTGATCTCGAATCGCGCTCAGGTCGAGGGTTTGCGGGTAGGGTCGGGGGTTGATACCCTTCTCTGGGAGGCCTATAGCGATCGATACTCGCCATGGCCGGTGGTCTTGAATCGGGATAACGATACTTGTAGCGCTGATAAGAAAATGGCTCGGGTTGCGTGGGTTTGAGAAAGGGGTACCAGTGATTAAGGCACGTAGATGCGAAGTTGAAAGTGATGCGTAGTCCAAGTTAGTCGGCGCTGCAAGGAACCTGATCTACTAAGGAAGTTGGCGTTTGACAGCAGGGGCAACAAACTAGAACCGAATTCGGGTAGCGTTATCTAATCACAACACAGGAGGGTGGACACATGATCCTCCAGTGGGTGATAGTAACACCCAACTCAACGGATGAAACAATAGAAACCAACTCCCCACTTTGGATGGATGAATGAGAAAAGGCCCGTTTTGGATGATGATTGTTGGACTATTGGTGATTGCTTTGTTGTTCATTCTTCGCTTTTTATTTAGTCTGGCTACCTATTATTATGAATTTTTGGGGTATCTCATAGTAGCTTTTGTTTGTCTCATTCTACCCAGATCTATTCTTTGTCAATGATGCATGCCCTGACATTAGACTCCATCGCCATCATTGCGACCCCATAGTTTGACTGTGCGATCATGGCCTCCACTGACAATCCACTTGCCGTCCCTGCTATAGTCGACGCTGGCAACTGGGCCTGTGTGGCCGCTGAGCGTCTGCACCAGTGTCCAGTCGTCTGCCGAGAAGATCTTGACATTTTTATCAAAGCCGCTTGATACGAAGAACGTGCCCGACTTTTTAGGTAGCTGTGCACCCTTGTCATCAAGACCAGGTGGAACACCAGTGAGAGGGTCGTCGAGACCTTTAAACCAACGCATATCAGAGACAGCACTGGTGTGCGCACCAATACCGCCTGTCCTTTGCACCTTTCGAACATCCCAACACTTGATCCAACCATCAGCTGAGCCAGATAGTACCCTGTGTCCATCAGAACTCCAGTCCAGTGCATGAATGGGTTTTATGTGACCGTCAAGATGTCCATCTAGGATCATGACGGTACGTCCGGAACGCAAGTCCCAGATTCTACCTATGCTGTCCAGACCAGCACTTGCGAGTAAGGATCCGTCAGTGTTGAAACTGACAGCGTAGACACCCCTTGAGTGACCTTCTTGGAGGAGGACCTCTGCGGTTGTTTCGACATCCCAGAGACGCCACGAAGTATCCTCAGAAGCAGAGGCCAGATAACGTCCAGAGGGGTGGAACTCGATACGGCATACTCGCTGTGAGTGTCCTTCGAGCGTGGATAGAGGAGTATCTTGATTCAGAGACCATAAGTGAATTGAGCCCTCGGCACCGCCTGACGCAAGGTTGACGACGTCGGGCGAAACGTTGTGTTCTGGTAGGGTAGATCCGGGAAACCAAGATAAGCCGCTAATCTTGTTGGTGTGGCCTCGGAAGGTTGTCTTTTGGTTCAAGCCTGGTATTTCGACCAGCTTGACTTGCCCACCCCAGTTGCCTACAGCGACCAACTCGCCGTTGGGAGATATGCGAGTCATGCTGACATGACGTTCACCAACCGTCTGACTGCCCTGGAGTTCGAATGCTTGTAATCTCTCCTTGACCTGTTTGCGGAACTTGACTTGGGT